CTTGTGTCCCGTGGGAGCGGCTGGGCTGGCACCCAGCTCAGACACCCCTGCGGGGCTCCCCCACCCCTGAGCAGACCAGGAGGGCGCTGCCCGGGAGGAGAGAGCAAGGCCAGACCCTGAGGAACGTGTTAAGATGAGCGAGGGGAGGGCTCACGACCGGTGACCACCCTCACCCCTCCTGCCGGGCCTGGTCAGGGGGCTGCCGGGAGCCCCCCCAAGGGCAGCCTCTGGTGGCAGCGGCCTCCAGCCCTCCCCTGTGCCCGGCACCAAAGAGCAACAGAGCAGCCTCTGGTCACCGGCCGAGCGCCAGCGGGTCAGAGCTCAGGAGGCCCTGCAGGCGCAGGGCCGCTTCCCACCCCCGGAGCCAGGGCCAGGTTCCTGGGCGCAAGGGCTGGGCAGTCACAGCCGGTCCTTGAAGGGGTCCCCTGCTCGGCCTCAAGCTCTGCTGAGACATCTTGATGTTCTTACTCAGCTTTGGACGAGGGGCGCACGTTTTCATTTCGGACCGCTTGTTAAAAATGTGAGACGTTGGCCAGAGGCCCACTCGGCCCCCAGCCTCTGCTCTGGGTCCCCTCCTTCCTCCTCTTCCTCTCCTCTTCCTCCTCCTCTCTTCCTCCAGTCCTTTGGGCCTGTTTTATAGCAGACAAAGGCCAAACTGGAGGTTATGATCCGGTTCACCCTGCTGTTTGTTTAAGGCGGCTTCTCCCTGCAGCCTGAGGGGTGTGCCTGACCCGGGCGGAGCGGCAGCCTGGGGACGGGGCTGAGCTGGGAGTATTGGCCGTCACAGGCCGGGGGAGCCTTGGAATCCGGTTCAGATACACACGCAGCGTCAGAGACGCTGCCAGGCTCCTCCCTGGCCCGTGGGTCGCTCCTGCCCCGCGCCTCCCGCGGGTGCCGGTCCTCCTGGCGTGCTCTGCGGGGCGCGTGGAGTTTGGGCAGCGGGGACGGGCCGGCTGTGGCTGGAGATGTCTCGGCTGGTGTTCGCCCGGCTGTGCCACTCACTCGCTCGGTGACTTCTGTCACCTCCAGCACGAAGAGAGCCGGCGTTTCATTGTTACGGGGTTTTCCCTCCCTCTGCTGATCTCTCTCCTCGGTCTCTGAGTGCCTGTGAGTCAGGGACAAGGGGAGGCAACCGTCCAGAACAGCTTCGGAACACCGGGCGTCTCCAGGCCACTCTGGGGCTTTAAGAACCAGCCCTCCCATCCCCCCTCCCCCCCCATTCTGGATGTTTTCTGGTTCTTTCTTCCTAAACTGCTCTGAGTGAATCGGGCAGGAGACCCCACCTCTTACAAAATGAGATCAGGGCTGCTTCAGACTTCAGCAGAAATCACTGCCCTGCATTCAGCCAGAGCAAAGCCAAAACTAGTGCTTACTGACCCAAAAGCGCCGTTGCCTTGGGATTTTTGTGGCTGGGTTCCCTGCACGCCTACAAACCTGGGGTGCTGCCCGAAACACCTCACTCTGGTCTTCAGTGGGCTCAGCCACCCAGCACAGAGTCAAGGTGAATGCCATGTGTCTCCAGCCCACCCTGGGGCCCCTTACCTGCTTGGCAGGTACTCAGCTCGGTGGTGCTGTCTTCCTTTGAAGTGCTCTAAGAGCAGAATTCCCACCACCGTCTAGAAGTGTTTAGCTGGTCTGATCTGACCCGTGGGAGAACCTTGTGTTACCTGGTAGGTGAGCTGGAAGGGGCGCCTGCCCAGCCCCAACACGTCCCCGGCGTCCTGGGATCCTGATGGGTCAGCTGTGCAGCTTGCTGAGACTATTGAGAACCTTCCGGTGCGGGGGTGGGGGGGGGGGTTGGGAGGTGCGGGGGCAGGTAGAAAGCCAGAGCTGAGAGGGACCAACTCTTCCGCACGGGATACTTCCAGGTTGTTGGGCTACCCTCCTTCCCCGCCTTGTCACCTGTCATAGCTAGGGGGGCGGGGGGCATCCGTATCTGAGGGCCGTGGCTCCCTCCAGCGGGGGGCTCGGCAGGAGACTGTCAGCTCAACCAGCCCTCACCCACAGCCCAGAAAGCAGCTGCCAGTCAGAGGGGGGTTGGTGCCTGGACGGGGCCATCAGACAGGAACTGACCATCTGACGTCTGGTCGCCACTCCCTGGCCCTGGGACACAAGTCCTCTTGTCTTCTGTTGCCACCGTGTCTACAAATGAAAGGTGAAATGACACGTGGTGTCGGGGGGCAGGGTCCCTCTCTTTTTCCCTGTCGTGTGTCTCTGCTCCCATAGGCTGGACACGGGGCGGGGGGAGTGGGTCGCCCTGCAGGCCCCTTTCCCAGACCTGGCCCTGGCCCTGGAGGTGCCTTTCCTGTGTGGTGTTTGGCGGCCACGAGGCGCTGCCTGGGCCCTGCTCTGTAAAACCCACGGGAAAAACCCCCGTGCGCTGCTGCTGCCAGCAGTGAAGTCCCCGGCGTGCGAGCCCGCCTCCTCGGTGGAAGATTCCACCACCTTGCGCGGCGCAGGGCGGCCACGGGACGGAGGCTGTCGTGGCCTCGGCCACATGGGGCCCCTTTCACGGTGCAGAAATGCTTGCTCACAGAGGAGCCGGGGAAAGGCAGGCTGAGCAGAACGTGTCCGTTTACTCTGAGCTCAGCGACGTTGGGAGGGTCTTGGGTCCCCTACCAGAGGCCGCCCAGCACCCCTCTCCGCGCTGGACCCCTGGCTCTGAAGAGTCCCAGGATCTCGAGGTTTCCCAGCGCCCGATGCCCCTGCTGGGCAGCAGCCTCCCTGTTCTTACGCTGTTATGTTCTCTCCTGCCTCCCATCCCAGGGGCGCGGGTCCCGGGCGCAGCATGTCCCCACCAGTCTCTGGAGAGCTGCGTCCCGACAGGGTGGGGCTGACCCAGCCCAAGGCGCCATGGTCTTTATTCCAGTAACGGCGGCAGCACCCCTGCCCAGCAGCAGACGGACAGCCCCTGGAATGAGCTTAAAGACCCCTCTCCCTGGGCACCGAGCTAAGACTCCCCCACAGACACCCCTAGTCTGCTGCTGGCTCTGCCTGCTGCTGCCAGGGGAACCTGTGTTATTCCCATTTGACAGCGGAGATCACGGCTCCGCCAGCAGGTCCGTCGGGAACTGTTTGAGGTTCGTCGGTGGGAGCGGGTGGGGCCAGGCCCCAGGCCCAGGTGGGCCCACTGCCCGCTCACCACGCCCACCCCTCAGCCTCATCTCCCCTCAGATCTGGTCCCAACTGCTCCACCAGTTCCCTGCCTCGGGCCTCTGTTCCCATAAGCCCCCTCCCCGCCATGAGCCAGTGATGTCTTCTTTCTTCTCCCCAGTCTCCCCAAATGACCTCTGACCTCCGCCGAGTGCGGCCTCAGGGCCTCCCTCCCCTGCAGGCTCGGCTCCTCCCTGGCCCTGGGACCGGTCTTCTCTGGCCCTCTGTGGCCCCCGCATGTGTGACACTCGGCAGCGGGGCACAGGGGCCCTCTCTAAACTTCCCCTGAGTGGCCTTGGCTGTTGGGATGTGGGAGGTCATTGTCCAGAGTCCCAGAGTGTCCGTCCGTCAGTCAGTCCGAGGAGGCTGGCGGACCAGCTGTCCAGCCCTCACTAGACGGGTGAGGAAACTGAGGCACGAAGAAAGGCCGTGTGGGTTTAGCTGCCCCCTGATGGGGTGGCATGGGATGAGGTTGGCCCTGGGTGCCAAGTGCTCTGCCCTGCTCCCACCCCACCCTTGGACCCGTGAGACCCCCATCCCTCTGGGCTCGGTTGCCAGAGGTGACCAGGCAGGTGGTGGCCGACCGCATACTTTTCCTCTGGGTCCACCTTAACGAGTCTCCCCTCGCGTCCACCCAGCCCCGCTGGGCTCATCTCACGGAATCAGGTTTTTCCATTGTTGCCTCACATTGTCTGCCCTGATTGTTTGTGCAGCCTTCTGGGCGCTGAGATAAGAAATACCTCGCCTTCCTTGGCCTTCTTTGGTGATCTCCATCAGCAGGATCTAGGAAAAACACCCTTGTCAGTAAAGGCCCAGCCCTGCTGTCACAGGGCCTGGCGGCGCTGGCCTCGCTTAAGACAGACCAGGTCGTGGCTGTCGGTCGGGAGAGGGCTTCCGGGATGGGCAGAGAAATTCCCAGGCTCAGGAGGGAAGCGTTCTTCTCCTTACACAGCTTTCAGCTTGAAAACCTGATGGCAGAAGCAGTCAGTCTCAACAAAGAGAGAAAATGCAAATGAAGCTGCGTTAACCTTGATTTCAGCTCGGCCTCCACAGCCGGAGTCTGTCCGGTCCCCTCCGGGCAGCTGCTGACCGCTGTGGGGCAGGGGGTGAGGAGACGCACCTGCAGGGTCCCTGTCGGGGCAGGACCCTCCTCGGCCCCTGGTGCAGAATCCCCCGTCTTGCCTGCCCAGAGCCTCGTGGCCTGGACTCAGGGCGTGCCGGTCAGGGATCCGCTTTCTCAAAAATTCCAGATCCTTCTCGGTTCAGTTCTCATTGCCCCCGACTGGGGCTCACGTGTTTGGGGCCATCTAACCTTTTTTTGGGGGGGGGGGCTTAATCTTCATCTCTACAGCCTGTTTTTATTAAAGTTAACTTTGGAATGTTTTTGTCTAGAGACATGTTTATTGCTGGAGGAGAAAGGGGTTTAAAAAATGTTTTTTTTCTTTCATTGACCCTTGAGAGAGGGGAAGGGAGGGAGAAAGAAAGGGAGAGAATCAGTGATGTGAGAAACATCGATAGATGTCCCTCCCTAGAGCGATGAGGAAACGGAGGCCCCGGGAAGGCCGTGCGGGTTCAGTTTAGTCGGTCCCTGACGTGGTGGCGGCATGAGACAGGGTCTCCTGGATTGAGAGCACTCTTCCCCCCGCCCCCCAAACCTGTAAGACCCTCATGCCCGGTGGTCCCTTTGCTTCTGGGCGTTGTGCTCGGCCTTTGCAAAGACCCCTCCGACAGAGGCGAGGCCCCTCTCGCCCTGTGGCCACGGGCAGCGCGTTGCCCTGCTCTGAATCTCTCCTGACCAGAAGGCGGTTCTCTTTCTAACGTAGCGCTTTTCGTTCGCTTGTTTCTAGAGCAAATCATGGAGGAAAATAAAAAACATGGTGCACTGGTCTCCCTTCGTCATGTCCTTCAAGAAGAAGTACCCCTGGATCCAGCTGGCAGGACACGCAGGTAGCCCCAGGGACATTCGGGGCCCTGGGGAGCTGCCCAGCACGCTGGCTGGTGGGGGGGCGGGGGGAGGGGCGGAACCTGGCGCCGGATGCTCCTGGTGGTGCAAGTGTCCAGAACAAGTTCTCTCTGAGAATCGGCAGTGGCCGCGGCAGCCACACTTTCGAGATGCGGCCGTAATGCCGCCTTGAAAACGCACACAAGGACCACCCCTTCCCCAGAACACGCAACCGCCCCCTCCCGTCGCTGTCTCTTGCAGCGTCTCCCCCTGTCTCTTCCAGTTGACCTCAGTGAGACCCGGGAAGTTGTAGATCTCAGAGCTGGCCTGCCCTGTGTTGTCTCGGACAGAGAGGCGAGACCAGCCCTCTCACTGAACATCTGCTGTACACCCTCATCGCCAGGGGTCACGGCGTTAACGGAAGTGTACTTGGGGCACGCACTTCAAAGGAGTGGGCGCAAGTCCTAGCCCCCCACACACTGACTGCAACTCCGAGGTTCCCCAGCTTCCCCCACCCCAGACCCCTCCTCTGGAGAAGGAGGGGCGCCAAGACCGGGTGGAGTGCTGGGTGCAGGGGGCCAGGGCGCCAGGTCGGCCACGTGGTCTCCAGTTCCCTGAGCGACGGGGAGGAGGCGCACCTGGGGCCGAAGCCTCAGCGCTGTCCAGTTCCGAGGCACACACGTGGGGGCCCTTTGGTGTGCTGTCCTCCAAGGGCATTCCGGGGGCCGCCCGGACTTGGCCGTCATCACTTCAGGCCAGCACAGGGTCCAGCATTTCTTTTATGTCCCCGCCCACCTTGGCCCAGCCCCAGGTCCGCGGATGCACACACTTCCTAAGTCCTCACCTGAGGTCGTGGCTGCTCGGAAGGAGCACGGCCAGGGGGGTGCAGCCCCGGACTCCGCCCCTCAGCCACTCTCCCTGTCCTGGCATGGAGCCCGACCCTGTTGGGGTTTCTCCTGAGGCCAGAGACACCTTCGTTGCCCAGGACGCAGGGTTGAGGACGCGGGGCGGGTGGCAGTAGTGACACAAAGAGGAGTGAGTGCACCAGCCTTGGCCCAGAGGCTCACAGCCCTGCTGCCCCTCCAGGGCGCCGGTGCCCCTCCTTCTCCAGAGGAGGGGCCTGGGGTCAGGGAAGCTGGGGAACCTCGGAGTTGCAGTCAGTGCGTGGGGGGCTAGGACTTGCACCCACTCTTTTAAAGCGCATGGTCCACAGCAGAGCCCAGGGCCCACCTTCAGCCCTACGCTTATTAGCAAGCCCCGAACCATCCCCCGAAGGAGACAGGCATTGCCACCGAGGGGGCCGTCCCGGGTGGAGCGGTCACCAAGGGCCTCCTGTCCTCTTGCCCTGCAGGGAGTTTCAAGGCGGCGGCCAACGGGCGGATCCTGAAGAAGCACTGTGAGTCGGAGCAGCGCTGCCTGGACCGGCTGATGGCCGACGTGCTGAAGCCCTACGTGCCGGCCTACCACGGGGACGTGGTGAAGGACGGCGAGCGCTACAACCAGATGGACGACCTGCTGGCTGACTTCGACTCGCCGTGCGTGATGGACTGCAAGATGGGCGTCAGGTGAGCCAGGCGCCACCGCCGCCGCCGCCTTGGAGCGGTCGCCGGGCGTCCGGTGGGACTGCCGGACCCCCCCAGCCCCCGCCCAGCCACCTCACATGTCGTGCAGAGGGGACAGGGACCCCGGCTTTGCCCCGATGGCCCCCTCCCTTCTCTGTTGAGCTGGGGTGGGGCAGGAGCCAGTGGCTGGTGGGGCTGGGCTTGCTGCTGCGCGCCCCCAGGGGAGAGAGCCGGGGAACAGCCCGTCCTGTCGGCCTGGGGTGTTTGCTGGGGGTAGCAAGAAGGTGGCTTCCTGTTCCGTGAGTTTTTAGGGGCCACTGGAGCAGGGGTTCTCCCCATTCCCCCCACGCCCTGCCCTGAGCCAGGGAGTGGGGAGGGAGCTGGTTAGTAGGGCATGTCGGTTTGCCAGCCAAGACGTGGCCTGCGTAAGAGTGCAGCAGAGGAGGGAGCCCAGGCCCTTGCGAGGCCCTGACCACACGCACCAGCCGGCCCCCACCGAGGACTGGGGCTCGGGGTGACCCAGCTCGGAGCAGGGCGCTCCAGAGCCCAGAGTAAAGCGCAGTGGGTACTTGGGCTTGTGTGTGGGATTGGGACCCCACCCCCACCCCAGAGTCAGGCTCACCCTCATGTCCACCTGGAGATGGAAGGAGGGGCGGGAGACCAGGCAGGAGGAGACGGGGTGCTGGGCGATAAGAGGTGGAGGCCCTGAGACCCCCCCCACGGGAGGGCCAGACAGACGTGGGGCTCCCCAGCACACCGCCACCCCCCCCCCACCCCGGCAGGCCAGGCTTCGAGAAGCAGAGCCCGGATTGGGAGCTTGTCTGCACTGGATGGTGTAAGCAGTTTGATTTCTAATGAAAGGAGATTGGGAAAGATGAAAGAGAGCGGGAGAGAGCACGACAGAGAAAGAGTCACACAGATAGAGACAGACACAGAGAGAGAGAAAAGCCAGGAGGCCAAGCCCCCCAGTTTCCCTTCTCCCCGTGCCCCTCCTGGGAGCTGTGTCCTGGATTCTGACCCTGCAGGCTGACCCCTGGTCCCTTGGCACCGCCCCCAGGGCAGGGATGGGGGCAGGGAGTCCAGGTCTCACTCTTCGCCCTTACCCTGTTTCTGCCTCCCTCCAGGGCCCGCACCAGCCCCAGCCCACAGGGAGGAGACTGAATGTCCCTCCAGCCTCCCCTTGGCCCCTGCTCTTCCCCAGAGGCTTATTTCTGTCCCAGGAAGTGCCCTTACCCCCTCGGTGCACCAGGATGCGCCCTCAAGGGAAAGCATATAAATAATCCATTGGTGTTCACTCAGAACGTGGCCAAAAAAAGTACGCCCTGTGGGAAGAACGCGTAGCCGGTCAGTCCTGAAAGGCTGCCTGGGACACCAGCCTGCCCCTGGGAGGCCTCTGGGGACCGGAGCCTGCCTCCACTCAGGGCTGCCCCGTCCCCCTGCGTCCTGCCTCTTCCGCCCCACTGCACCCAAGGGCTCTCAGGAGGGACCCTGAGCAAGGCTGGTTCCCGTGTGACCCTGTCCCGGGCAGGGGTGGGGGGTAGAGGGAGTGGGGTGTGAGAGGGGCTCTTGTGCAGAGAAGGGGTGGGTCTCTCCAGAACCAGCCCCCGCCTGCTCTGCCCTCCCTGCCTCCGGGTGGGTCCGTCGGTGCTCCGAGCGCGTGCTGGGTGCTCCTCAGGGCCTCCCTGCGGCTGAGCTTTCACGCCTGAGGTCAGGGCCCCATGTCCTGCAGCAGCGCGGCCCTCATTTGCCGCAGCCCCCCCCCCCCCCCCGCCTCACTGCCGCAGGTCCAGCCCGGGCTTCACCCTGAACTTGCCGAGGGGGCTCCGTGGGCCCAGTGGGCCCTGCACCCCAGCTGGGGTTGTGACACTTTCCGCCGGCATCAGTCCAGACGCCTTGGGCTCACAGCCTCCCTGAGGCCCGCAGTCCACAGTCGCCCCCGGAGCGTGGCCTGCGCTTGGCAGAGGAGGGAGGCGGAGCCCGCAGACTGAGGGCCTGAGACCTGCCACAGGCCAGCCCAGCCCCCGGCACAGGGGAGTCTGTAGGGTCCCCAACTAGAGGTGTCACGGGACCCTGGTCCCACACGGACAGACACTCACCCTCCTGCTCTGGGGAGCTTTCTTAGCTGCGACCCTGTGAACCTGGTGTGTGACCTGCCACTGGAAGCCAGCCACGCCTTCCAGACACCCGGACCAGGGCCTCGGGGCAGAGACCAGCACTGTCTCCAGGACCCCCACCCTGGCAGGAGCTGTAGATGGCTATGGCGTGTCACCTGTGGGCTCTTCACCCCCCACCCCAAAGCCTCACCCCCACACCACAGGAGGTGGAGGTTTGACCTTCCCAGGGAGGTGGAGGGACAGACGGCAGGGGGGCGTGAGCCGACCCCCCCACTGTCCTGCTGAGGAACTCCAGCGGGCATCCCTGCCCAGCCCCTGTCCCCTCCCCGGGGGAGTGGGGGGAGCAGCTCCACCCAGACCGAGACTCCTGGGCCCTTCCTGGAAAAAGCCCTGTGTGACCAGGGGGTTGACAGGGAGGCCTGCTTCCTGTTTAAGGAGCCACTGAGAGCTCTTTGCAGAAGTGCGGCCGCCCACCACCCTGCAGCCCGCGGTGCACCGGGAGCCCTGGGTGCCTGCTGCTCGCCCAGCAACGCTGCACACGCACAGACCCGCACACTCAGCTCCATGCAGGCGCCTCCCGCCCCGAAGCTCACCCTCACGGATTTGGCTGTGCATGCACCGTAGTGTGCGCGCACGTGTGGGCGTGGGCCCAGGTGTGTGTGCGAGTGCCCTGCCAGGGGCCCACAGCGCTCCGTACACTCTTTGTCCCCTCTGGAAGGTTCTAAATGACCAGGCTCAAGTTCACACGCAAGGATTTGGGTATTTCTCTTCTATCAGCCGATACAGTGGTTTCTGAAAATGTTATCTTTTAAAGACGTCCTGAACTTGAACTTGACGGTCAGTCTGTGCTGGGTCCCAAGCTAGCAGCTTGGAGGTGTTGGGGGGAGTGTGGAGCGAGGCCCTGGGGACCGGCAGCAGAGAGTGGGGACCCGGCCCGTCGTCACAGCCGGCCGCCTGTGGGCAGCTCCCGCCCACGCAGGGCCTGGCGAACAGAACTTCCCTCTGCTGCAAGTCACGCTGCACATTTCTGTCTCGTGAAGGGTCACGGGCGGCAGCTCAGCCCACTGGGTGGTGGGGGAGGAGGGCAGTTTAAAATAGAGCAGGAAGGGGCCTTGGGGTACAGAGACCTTAGCCCTGGCCAGGCCTTCCTGGCGGTCTTGGAGTGAAGCTGACGATGGGGTGGGGGAGGCCGCCAGGACCCGAGATTTAGCCTCGGGCTGCTGAAATCATGTACTTACTGTCCCTGCCCCTGTTACCCCACCCGTGTCCTGGGGACCCCGCCAGGTCAGCCGGCAGGGTCAGCCGGCAGGCCCAGCCTGCTCGTGCAAGAGCAGGGCCGTGAGTCGTGCAGTGGACACATTTTCTCTGGCTTTTCGGGCTCAGGGCTGAGGAGGCGAGGGCTGGGCTGAAGCCGGGTGTCCCGGGGCCGGAGGAGCCGGGGGCGTCTTTGACACAGCAGAGGCCACGGAGCCCCAGGCTCCCCTCCCTGCGGGGGCCGCCCTCCTCCAAACTGTGGCCCCTCAAGAGGCCCCCTTCTGGCCTGACCTCTGTACTCAGGGTTTCCCGTCTGGACACAGCCACAGACCTTTCAGCCCACCAGGCTGCCTGAGAACTGGGGAGGTGGGGGCGCGCAGAACGAGCTCTCCGACCTGCTCAGGTGCCGGCTGCAGGAGCTCTCACTCTGTGCAAGGGGCCCGGGCAGCTGAGGAGGGACAGTGGGGCCCTGGTGCACCCTGCCCGTGGCCCCCTGGTGCTGGGCCAGGAGGCTGGAGTCAGCTCAGGGGCCGACTCACCCAGGGTGGGCGAGCCCTCAGCCCGGGCTGCAGCCTGCTCCTGACTGAGAGCAGGGACGGCCTTGCTGGGTGGGAGCAGCTTCGCTCCGAGACCACTGGGGAGGCCCGGCCGGCCCTCAGGGGCTCCTCCTGATGGCGGAGCCCCGCTGGCCGGCAGGGAGGGAAGGGGGCAGGTTAGCCTGGCCGGCTGGTCTGGCCCCCAGCCCTCACGTGGCCTCCCCTCCCACACAGGACCTACCTGGAAGAGGAGCTCACCAAGGCCCGGAAGAAGCCCAGCCTCCGGAAGGACATGTACCAGAAGATGATCGAGGTGGACCCTGAGGCCCCGACCGAGGAGGAGAAGGCCCAGCGGGCCGTGACCAAGCCGCGGTACATGCAGTGGAGGGAGACCATCAGCTCCACCGCCACCCTCGGGTTCAGGATTGAAGGCATCAAGGTGAGGCCACCCGGGCCGCTCAGCTCCTGGGTGGGGAAGGGGGGATGGGGGCTTGGGCTCCACCAGCACAGCACCCACCTCAGGAGTCTAAGGACCCTGTAGAGGCCCAGGGTGAGGGCAGCCAGCCCCGGGGACAGACAGACATTTGGAGAAGTTGTCCTATATTTCTCAGTCTGGGGACAGGCGGGATGGCGGTGTCGGGGCCGGGCCCTTAGGACAGGCCTGCCTTCCACTTCTCCCAGCACTCAGCCCCCTGCTGAGGACCCCACCCTGGTAGCCCAGAGCATACCGGGCACCGAGAGAAACCCCCCTCCCCGGACCCAGCTTATAGGGCGCCCACGACCCAGAAACCAGGATGGGTTGTGCGACGCAGACGCAAGCAGGAGCTTGCTGGCCGCCTTTGATGATCAGGCCACGCCCCTCGCTCTGCCCAGGCAGGCGGGGCCAAGCACTGCTCCTGCCCCGGGAAAGCTCTGGGGAGGCTGCCCCGGAGCCTCCCCCGACTTCAGGCCCACCTCGTTCTCTCCTTCCCTCTGGGGCCTCATGATGCTTTTCGTGTCCCCACTCCCTTGCTGTGAGGTGTGAAGAGCCAGCTCAGACACTGCTCACCCCAAGGAGCAGGGCAGTGAGGCCCCAGGCCCCTCGGGGTCTCAGGCAGCCATCCCTCCAGAGCCGGTGGCCGTGGTCCCTCTAGCATTCTTCAGTCTCTGTGGTCTGTCCATTCATTCTTGGCCCTTGTGGTCCAGCCGTGCAGTCACGGCTGGACAGCCCGAGCAAGCTGTAGCCAGGGCGGGCTCCGCAGCCTCATCAGATGGCATTTCAGTGTGAGGTTCTGCCGTCAGCAGTGGCACCTCACCGCCCCGGAAAGGATTCACCCTCCCCCGGGACAGCTGCTCTTCGAGCTCTGGGCTAAGAAAGCCATTTGCCCGCCCCCCACCCCACAACCTGTCTTCCCAAACCAGCTTTGCTGTTTCACACCCAGCCCTCAGACGGGGTGCCAGCTACTCACCCCTCCTGCTCCTCTTCTTGCTCATTTTCCTTTATCCACCTTTCCCTGCGCTTCTCCCTCGAAGGCTGAATGGTCTGGCCTCTGTCCCCGGGCTGGTAGGCTGCAGGAACAGCCCGCAGCCCATGTCCTTGGGCTGAAGGCCACCCACCTCTCCCCCCCACCCAGTCCAGGGAATGCCCTGCAGAGGCCGCCCCTGTCCACACCAGGGTCGGGTCCCCCCGTCTCCTCAGAGGCAGCCTCGGGCTATCCCTAACCCCCACCACGCTGGTGGCGCTCAGGCCCAAGTGCAGGACTCCCACAACCCCCCTCTCTCACCCCTTGTCCCAAAGAACTGGTTTCCTCTTAGAGGAGAGTGAGCTCCCCGGGCCGCCCGGAACAGCGTGGAACAGAGGGACATGGCCCGAGGAAACGGAGCCGCCTCACATGCTGGACAGACCGGGCAGCAGAGGCGGGCGGGCAGTATCATTTCGTGGCTTTCAGGAATCCTACGTGAAAGGTCTTAAATTACTCCAGCAGAACTGGGGGGCAGGAGTGCAGCTCTCTGGTGAACGAGGGTGCCGTGGACAGCAGGGGCCTCCTGGCTCTCGGTTCCGGGGCCAGGCCCCTCGGGGAAGCCACGGCCTATCCTCTTCTTCAGCCCCACTGCACACACGCAGGAGGGTGCTGGCCCCAGGGCCCAGGACAGGCTGCCCTTTGCTGTGCTGCCTGGTCAGCTGCCCTGGGCCTGGGGGTGCAGGCACGGAGCCCCAGATCAGGCCTGGGCTCTGGGTGGCTTTCTCAGGCCCCTGGGTTAGGGAGTGAAGGGCCTGCCCCCCCCCCACAACCCCTCTGCTGACCCCTCCTGGGTTCGCCTCCTCAGAAAGAAGATGGCTCCGTGAACCGAGACTTCAAGAAGACCAAAACGCGGGAGCAGGTCATCGAGGCCTTCAGAGAGTTCACTAAAGGGAACCAGAACATCCTGGTGAGCCAGGGCCCCGCCAGGAAGCCGGCCGTGGGGTCTCGGGCAGCAGCGCGGTGCCCACTCCGCAGAGCCAGGCCACGGTGGCTGTGGCCACGTTGCCCACACGGAGCCCGGCCCCACACTTCCACTTGGAAGGTGCAGAGGAAGGTGATGTGGCCGCTGGCCCGTTCTGCGGGCAAACAGGGAGGCGCGGTGAGCGCTCACTCACTCTTCCCCTCGCTGCCAGCCTCGAGGCTCCCCAGAGCAGTTTCGGTCTTACGAGCAATCCTTTCCATCACCGGGTTTCCTTAGCAACCCCGTCTGCCCAGTGATGTGCCCCGTGCTCATCCCAGCCTCAGAGCAGCCGCTGGAGGGGGTGGACACCCTTGCCCCCGTTGTACAGATGAGGAAGCTGCGAGGTCAGGGGCACACAGCTAGGACAGGGCAGAGCCTGGATTCACCCAGACAGGCCGGGGGCCTGCTGGTCCCTGCACCCCGATCCTCCAGGCCAGGCGGGGCCTCCACCAGGCCCTGAGGCTGAGTGAGGGAAGTGGGCTGGGTGGGGAGAGTCATAGCAGCCTTCCTGGGAAGAACCTGCCAGCTGTCTCTGAGCCTGGAGGTGGGGGCGGCAGGAGTTTATGACAAAGTGACTCCCTTCCCTACCAGACAGGCTGGACAGACACTCTGACCCCTGGGGTCAGGACCCTAATCCTCCCAGTGGATGTAGGGTGCACCATGCCTCTGCACCCCATGGGCAGGGTGCCTGGGCACACCACCCACTTGGGCCCCTTCCCGAGAGAAGCACCTTCTGAACCATCCACCAGGGCTGCTGAGCAGGGAGGGGTGGATCAGACGCCTTTTCTCCAAGGAGACCCAGCGCCGGCTGGAACAGGGGATTCTCTCTCCCTGCCTTTTCCCCTGGGGAGCCTTCCCTTGGCCCCTAGCAAGCACCGGGTCATAGGGCATCACCCTGACTCTTACACAGCCTGAGCCTGGGGGTGCCGGGACACCAGCTGCTCCGCAAAGCGTGCTCAGAATGCGTGCTTCCTGCACCCCGGGGGAGAGGTTTATTCTACGTGCTGGGCTCCAGGCTGGCCCTGCTACAGAGAGGCACCGAGGGACCACGCGTGCCTGTGTGCTCCGGGCATCCCCAGCCGTCCCCCGTGGGGAGGTGGGCACCCCCAGGGCCAGTACAATTAACAGGGTTTGGAGGGCTCGGTGGAGAGACCCCTGGCAGAGATATTTGTGGCTCCCTCACTTGGAACTTTCAAAAGTCGGGGCACTGAAGTTTGTCTTCAGGAAGATACCATGGCAACAGGGCTCCTAAGATGCTGCATTCCAGAATAAACTTAACCCTTGTGGGAGGAGCTCCTGGAGGCCGCACAGATGCTTGGGTCCTGGCCCCCCACCCCCATCCCTCCTGCTCACTGAGCAGTGTGGACTGGACAGGGCACGGGGGCGGAGCCCCGCCACCACGCCCCCTCGTTTCTCGATGAGGAAGCTGGAGTGCACTGTCTGGGCGTAGGCTCCCTCCCCCTGATGCTCAGGGACGTTAAGGGCCAAATGGCTCGAAATCCCCCACCACTCCAGTCCCAAATGTTTAAAAACCTGGTCGTCCTTCCATTCCCAGACTGCCTACCGGGACCGGCTGAAGGACATCCGGGCCACCCTCGAAGTGTCTCCCTTCTTCAAGAGCCACGAGGTGGGTATCGGGCTGTTGCCGTCCCCGGCAGAGGGCTGCGCCCGGTGTGGCTGGCCACGCCCTGTCACCAGGCCTGTCCCCGGGGCTGTGAGCAAGCCTCCCTCGCCCACAGACCTGCCTGCTCCCAAAGCCCAAGGGGCCTTTTCAGAATGACTGCCGCCAGAGGCGGGCCCTCTGGGATCGGGCCCCTGGCCGCCTGCAGGACCCAAGTGGTAACATCTGTGCCAGGAGCCCTGAGATGGCCGCCTGGGACGTCCTGCCTGAGACCTGGGGTCACACCCTGTTCGCTCTCCTGCCCAGCCAAGGTGTGGCTGTGGTCTGAAACCCCGGAAAGTGTGCAGGCGGGAGCTCAGAGTGGGGAGGGGGCGGTCAGCAGCCTGCCCTCCGGGACTTGCTCCCTGCCACTGCCCCCGCAGAAGGGCAGCTGCTGTCCTCTGCCCCCACCCCCACCCCGTGGTGGCCGTGGCCGCTCTCCATGGGCTTTGCCGCCCAGGTGAGAACGGGGCGGGGCGGACAGGCAGGCTCCGGGCTTCCCCGGAGTGACCTCATCCCCCGTCTCATTCAGGTCAGGCCTCAGGGTTTTCCAGGTCCCCTCAGGAGCCGGGTGGCTGCGTGGCGGGTGGGGGCAGGGGTCCGAGCGGCCCCCCTTCTCATCTTCCCGCTCCCCTACAGGTCATCGGCAGCTCGCTCCTCTTCATCCACGACAAGAAGGAACAGGCCAAGGTGTGGATGATCGACTTTGGGAAGACCACGCCCCTGCCGGAGGGCCAGACGCTGCGGCACGACGTCCCCTGGCAGGAAGGCAACCGGGAGGACGGCTACCTCTCGGGCCTGAACAACCTCGTCGACATCCTGTCCGAAATGTGCCAAGGCCCGGGCGCCCCCTAGCCTGCGCCGCCTGCGCCCACCTCGCCCTGTTCCCAGCCGCTCCCCTCCCCCTCCTCTTCCCTTCTCCTCCTCCGTTCTTCTTTCTCGTCTGCCTGGGTGCACGCCCCAGAACTGACCCTCCTAAGCTGCACTACAAGACACTTTGTAGAAGAGGAGATGAGACTTTCTGGTGATTTTCCTGACCGAAGGGCTTTAGCACTGGGGCTTCTTCCACTTCTCTCTGTAATAGGGTCTCCTAGAGGAGCAGTGCCCACCCCCTCAGCAGGCTCTGCTGCCTGCCGGGGAGGTTAGTTGGGTTTAGATCTGGGTGGAGGCGCAGGTGGCCCTGTAGTCCTGCCCCGAGCCTCTGGGTGGGCTCCCTGTGGGGGCCTGCTGCCCCCTGCTGGCCAGTGCTGTCAGCGCCGCTGCCCCGCACAGCCCGTTTCTGCCCTCCCCTCCCAGCCTGGTGAGAGGGGGCGCTGTGTAAGAGCCCACGTTCCAGCAGGTGCCTGGTGCCAGGCTTTCTCGTGGTTAAAGCACAGAATTCCTGGGCACCGCATGTAGGCCGCAAGCAGAGCACCCCCTGATTAGCAGCCCAGGCGGCCCAGGGATGCGTGCTGGCCTTGATGGACCTTTTAGTGTCTGGTGTTGGGAACTTCCAGCTTCGGCCCAGACCCGGGAGGGAGCCGGGAGGAGGCCAGAGCCCGCCTGGCTGTGCCCCCTGATGCTGGCCTCCCCCCGTGGGTGCGGGCGGGAGCCGAGGCCTTTCATCTTGACCACCGCCCTCAAATTCAGGGGGCCACTGCAACCCTGAGCTGCCAGGGCCGCAGCCACCGCCCGAGCCACTGTGCCTGCCACGCCCCACCTGGATCTTGCTATGACGAGGCCAGGGGGTGGGGGGGGCGGCACGGGGCACAGGCAGCCCCCAGTGTGGGAGAGACAGAGCCTACGTGGGGCACTCTTCTCACGCACCCCACCTCTCCCACCGCCCTGCCGACACTCCGTTGCCCTGCCGGTGGTGCCGGAGGCCCAGGCCCCCTGGCAGGTGCGGGCAGGGCTTCAGGCCGGCGCTTTGCAGGGAGGAAGCGGGGGGCGGGGCTGACTTCCTGGCCCCGGTTTTTCCCCTGAGATGAGCCTTACGGCCCAAGGGGCTCAGGCCCATGTTTCCCGACGTAGGGTGGACAGCTTCTGGGGTCCATGGTGGGCACCGGGGCTCCCCAGGCCTCTCTTCCTGGAGTCTCTGCGTTGTTTGAAGGTTCGAAGTTTCGTGGGGAACCAGTTGTAAGCCTTACTCTCATTGTAAAGCAAGTAAGTCTGTGTTGTTGAGGAATGTAGAATTTGCATGACTTAAAAGACAGGATTCCAGCTATGGCCACTTGGAGCGGTGCCCCCCAGGGCCCCCCCCCCGTTGTTGTCGAAGGAGATTTGGGGACCAGGTCAGGAAGCAGTTGGGGCCAGTTCCTCCCTAGGGAGCTGCTTCAGGGACACTGTGGAGACAGTGCGTGCCCAGGTGTGTGTGCCTAGGGGGACCAGTCCAGAGAAAGGGCTTCCTAGGCCACCTCCCTGTCACCCCCGGGTCTGGGGGAACTGTCAGCTCGCCCATGTGACACATGTGTTTCCCCTTTCATGCTGGGTGAGTGACGGTTGGTGGGGGCGGAGGGTGGGACACGAGGGTGTGTGAGTTCAGATTTTTAAAAGGAAATCACGTTTCAGCTTCCGGGCTCTTGTTCAAAACAGTGGTGACCTCCTGTGCGGGCTGACTTGCTGAAGGTCACAGCCCCGCCCCTGCGGAGCAGGAGAGGCCTTGTGACAGCATGTGACCCTGGGAGGCAGGAGCGGGGGCCCTGTGTGCACCCGTGGGCTAGAGGGACCCCACCCCGGTGGTTTGTGGGCAGCTCCCTGCAGGGAGCGATGTCGTCAATTTAGACGTCAGGGTCCTACAACTGTGGGCTGCCCAAAAGCTGCCTTCCTGCTCTCTGTGGAAACAGTTCGCTAAAGCAAATGAATGCTATGAACAAAAATGACACGGGACCAGCTTCACCTACTTCCAGAGAACAAACAAGCACTTTAAGCAAGCAACCGTTTGCTTGCAAACAATGTGCTAATAAGCAAATGATTTGTTTGTTGAAGGAGACCCATGGGGCTTCCTCCTGGCAGTCCTTTGCTTTGGGGTTGGTTACATTTATATGCGAAAGTGGCATCTTTTTAGGGTTATTCTATTACTTAGGGTTTCAGGTTTTTGTATTTACTGACCTAGTTCCCTTCTTCCACACCTCCTCTCTCTGCCCTTTTCCCCTTTGACCTTTCACCCTCCTTGTGTGGATCCTGGAATGGCATTTTCTAAGACCCCAGCCGAAGCTGTCCGAAAGGCCTTCCCCACCCAGCCCCCGTCCGGCAGGGCCTCCTAGGAACCCCCCGCCATGCAGGTTCCGGGAGGGCGGGCATGTGTACTGCCCCGTCCTTGCGCTGCCCCCCACCACCCGCCCCTGCCACCCGTGCAATCCCGGTGTTCAGTACTGCTTAGCCCTTGAGGGAGTTTTCTCAACTGCTTGTCCCAGACTTGCCTTTAGTGTCGTGTAAGAGGTTTTTAAGTTATATTTATTTTGTTGGTTTTTTTAATTGCACAAAACACTAAGACTGAGAGGCTGGATCCTGTTTCTCCTCTACAGCTCTGCCTTCTTTCCGAACTTCCTGTCCTGTCAGGTGGAAAGAGCCTGGAGGCAGCCTGGTGCCCCCCCCGCCCGTCCCCCCTCCCCAGGTGGACTCTTTCCTCCGTTAGCTGTATTTAGCTTTGAGTTTTTCGCATCCATCCGGCCCATCCTTGTGTGTACAGAACCCAGGCCCCTTCCCGGGAAGACGCAGAGCGTTCACCTGAGCCAGTGCCTTTCTGTTCCGGAGGGGAGGACTCCCCAGAGGGTCCCCCGCCCTCCGCACTTATCTCCCCGCGACACCTTGGAGAAAACCGAACTGTTACAAACCCCGCACAGTGCCTGTCAGACTGCAGACGCTCTGTTGCTTCCCAAATAAAGGCCCTGGAGACCACGGTGCTGTCTGCAGTGTGGTCCTTCCCCCCAAGCCCTGGAAGAAATGACTCGGGGCTGGGGGATGGGGTGGGGGGCCTCTTTGGAAGCTGCATGACGGAGTGGGGGCCATCGTGACTGCCTCCCCACCTTGAGGAATGGGGTCAGATTGGGTAACGTTTTAATCTGCAACGGATTTAAAGCACTCTTCAAAGCTAGTCTTGTCCACAAAACCTTTGCATAGTAGCTCAGGGACATTGAACAGCCACAGAGAAAGGCCTCTCCCCGGCACCCCCACCCCCACCCCCAGGCGGGGAGAGCCCCTGCAGCCTCTGGTGGGGAGAGTGTTCACACCTGTAGTCCCCCCCTTTTCCTAATCTTTGTCAGAGGTTATATTTATTGGCTAGAGAGAGAGGAAGGGAAAGAGGGAAACATCGGTGGGTTGCCTCCTGTACACGCCCCAGCCTGGGATCAAACCTGCAACCTAGGCATGTGCCCTGACCTGGAACTGAACCCGCGATCCTTTGGTGTACAGGGGCAACCCTCCAACCGGCTGATCCACCCGGCCAGGGCCTATGATCCCCTTTTATCCCCAGATCGACTCGGTGAACAAGGCTGTGTCGTCCCCATTCTAGAGATGGGGAAGCCGAGGCTTTGCAAGTTCGAACACCGTGGCCTGGCTAATAAAAGTGGGAAGCAGGGATTCACACCCAGGTGCTGCCTGGGTCTCTAAACCGATTCCGTCTCCCCCCCGCCCCCCGCCCCAGGGAGTGTGGGGAGGGCACGAGCTCATATTCTCTCCGCCCGGGTCCCGGGCACCAAGCATGGGTTTGGCCCAAGCAGCCGCCCAGAGAGGGTCTGGCGCCCCGACCAACGGTGCCTGGCTGGTCTGACGAGGAAGAAGGCTGAAAGGAGGGGCGTCTGAAGCACATCAAAGACGCGCCGCCGCCTGCCACCCTCTCCCCAGCTCTGCACCTCGGGGGGCTTCACACGCAGAATTCTGTGTTTGGGGGGCAGGCATGTCCTTGTCATTTTGAAAAGTTGTAAAAAAGCCGCAAAGCCTTTGCACTGTCTGTCCCTCCTGCCAGGGTTTGCCCCTCCGGTTGCCACGCACCCAGTAAGGTGCGGTGGGAACTTCAGATTCTCCCCCCTGTGTCTTACTCCTGTCGCTGTCCCGGCAGCTGGCTCTGTGGGTCCCACCAGGCTCACCCTGGACCCACCCAGGCTCATGCCTGTGTGGCCGGGGCGTCTGGGGGTGTGAAAGCCCAGGATCTCACCCGGCACCAGTGGCAGACAGGAACGGGATGATCGGTCTGGCCCTCCTTTCCCAGCCCACAGGTGGATGCAGCCTCCCTGTCTTTGCAGAGGACGGTCCTGTGAGGTCGAGCCGCCAGCTGCACTTGGTGGGTCCGCCTTGGGTCACTGTCCTTGCATCAGGGCTCCCAGGCCCTGCCCCTCACGTCCACTTAGGGTTGCCCCCCCCAACAAAGCAGCAGGAGACAAGCCACCTCTCAGACGGCTCACTGGGGACCTGAGCAGTTACCATCCCTTAGGCCATGGCTCAGATGCTGCTGCTGTGAAAAGGTCTCTGACCCCCTCCCCACCTTCCAGCCAGAGCAAGGCCCCCCCCAGCCACTCTGCTCCAGCGTCCCGTCTCATCTACCTGTCACATGCCTTCTCGGTGTTCGAGGCCACCTGTGGGACTTGGGGTCCATCTCCTCCACGGGGATGTTGTCCCCAAAGGCGAGGGCTGGACCCTGTAACTTGTTTCTGCAGCGTCTCCCAGTGCCGCATGTGTGACAGATGCTTAGTAAGTGCTGGTCGGCTGGGGTGGCTGGGCGCCCTCGGTGGCCACAGCAGTTGGGTGCATAGGCGCCCCGTCCTAGGCAGGAGGACCGCTCCCGCTTGGTGTGGGCTCCCGCCATCTTGTCCTGCTGCTGTCCCTTCTCTGTGGCTACGCAGACTGTGTCACTGCCGGTGACCAACCAGCAGAGACCCTTCGCAAACGCTTCCTTCACTGGGCGAGCCTCACTCCCTCTGCACCTCACAGTCCTCTCCTCTGTGGGTGCCCCCCCTTGACCCTGGGCTTTGCGGTCGCCCCCAACCGTGTGCAGCCCCCTGCTCATTAAACACGGCCCCTTGTGCTTGCCTAGGCTCCCCTGCCCAGCCTTCTGGGCCCACTCGCCCAGCTGACAATGCTTCAAGCCTCCAACAATCCCCCCAGCACCTCTGCCCCCCTCTTTCCCCTCCCTGAACCGTCCAGCTTTCTGAACAGGCACCACCTTAGAACTAGGGCCCACCTGGGTTTTAAATAGAGCTTTACTGGGAGCAACCACACTCATTTCTGTGGCTGCTTTCGACTAAAATAGCAGAGGAGAGGAGTTGCCAGGGGCCACCAGCTGCAAGGCCTGACACATTTACTCTCCGGCCTTTTATAGAAAAGTGCCCCGACCTCTGCTTTACAATTATGGCAACCGCTGATGAAGAATTACGACCTGCCAGCCCCCACACCAGGTGACTTAAGGCTAGGGAGTTTCATCCTTATAAAAACTTCGTTGGGTGAACTTCGTTAGCCCCATTTGGTATGTAAGAAAGCAGAGGCACAGAGAGGGTGAGTGATGTACCTAAGATCACACAGCTGGTAAGCAACCACCCCAAGCTCTGAACCAAGGCCCAAGATCTTTCCAGACCCTGGATGACTGAGTCTTCTAAGAGCAGGATGGGGCTAGGCACACGGCCGCCTCCCGGGATCATTGGGACAGCCTGTTGTGAAGCCATGAGTCTTGTTTTTGGTTACCGGAAACCTGACCAGGCCCTGGGGGTGGCGATCCCAAACACGGCCCTCTGCTGGGGCTGGGGCTGGGGCTGGGGCTGGGGCTGGGGCTGAGCTGCAGAGCCCCGGCCTTGACTCTGGCCCCCAACACCCAACAGCCAGTGCGGGGGCGCGGGGGTGGGGTGGGGACCGTGGATCCGGAGCTCTCTGGCACAATGTGTTCTTGGCTCCGTGTGACCCTGCAGGGAAGTGCAGCCCACGCAGGCCTCTGTTCCCTCAGAGTCGGGTGACTCGCAGACACCCAGATGCACTCTTCCCCTCCCGCCCCCGCCCCCGCCCCGCAACAGCCTGCAGAACCCAGTTCACTCGCCAGCTCGCAGGCTGGCTCCCATACCCTTCCACAGAAAAACGGAAAACGCACCCCGGTGCTCGCAAACACCCAGAAACGGCGTGCCTGTCGTTTTTCCCTCTGTGCTGTGACAGCTGTGGCCTGCTCCGGGCATTTAGTGCGCCCCCCCCTCCCCCGGGGCAGGCCTGAGGTGACAAATTCAGCCGAGGAGTGAAGAAGGGAATGCCAGATGCCCAGCCGAGAAGAGAGAGGAGGAATGTCACCCTTGAGCAAGATGGGAGGGCTTGCAGGTGCTTTTCAACCAGCAAAAACACGAGTTCGCTGTGATGCAAACAACAATAACACAGAAAAGGGAAGTGCTTCCCCGATAGGTGCCTGTCTCCGGTCGCCTGGGCTGCCTTCACAACAGACCACAGGCCGGTGGCTCACACAGCAGAAATTTGTTTCTCACAGCTCGGGGGGCCGGAAGCGTGAGACTGAGCTCTGGCCAGGTTTGGTCTCTGGGGAGACCCTCTTTCTGGCTCTCAGATGGCCACTTCCTCATGGTGTCCTCCCCCCCGCCCCCACCACAGAGAGAGAGAGAGAGAGAGACCCTGGTGTCTTCCCTTTGTCTCCTAAAGGCACCAGCCCAACCCAGTTAGGGCCCCATCTTTATGACCTCCCTTAACCTTTCTCAGGCCCTCACAGGCCCCATCTGCAAACACCATCACTTTGGGGGGGCAGGGCTTCAACATGGACATGGGGGCCGTGGGGGTGGGAAACACAACCATTCAGCCCCTCACAGTGCCCCCTCTTGCTAACTAAACATCACAGACTGTCTCCAACTCCGCCTCCCCTCCCCTAACTTCTCCCAACCTTGTGAATGAGTAAAGCAGTTTTGGGGTGTGAAGGTGGGGGTGGGGTGCAATGCTAATGTCTGTGGTTTTCTGTGGGGCGACATGTATTTGGGTTATTTTAAAAATAGTTTCTGCAAATCATGGGCACACGGTATCAGGCTGAGACAATTTGCTGTCGCCAGCAGCCCTGTTTAATTTCCATGGGGAAAAAAAATGCCTAGTTTTGTCTTGCCTTCTGAGAACACCCGCTGGAGAGAAAGCAAGAGATAGGGAACCCTGTCAGGGGAGGCTGCCCCCTTCTGGACAGTCATGTGCATTACAAGGTACTGAAACAAGGTAGGTAAGGTCATTTTTTAAAAATATATTTTATTGATTATGCTATTACCGTTGTTCCATTCCCCCCCTTTATTTGCCTCTGCCCTGCATACCCCCTCCCACCTACATTTCCCCCACCTACATCCCCCCCTTTAGTTCATGTCCATGGGTCATACATGTAAGTTCTTTGGCTTCTACATTTCCTATACTATTCTTACCCTCCCCTTGTCTATTTTCTACCTACCATCTATGCTACTTATTCTCTGTACCTTTTCCCCCTCTCTCCCCCTCCCATTCCCCTGCTGATAACCCTCCATGTGATGTCCATTTCTGTGGTTCTGTTCCTGTTCTAGTTGTTTGCTTGGTTTGTTTTTGTTTTTGTTTTAGGTGTGGTTGTTGATAACTGTGAGTTTGCTGCCTTTTTACTGTTCATATTCTTTATCTTCTTTTTCTTAGATAAGTCCCTTTGACATTTCATAAAATAAGGGCTTGATGATGATGAACTCCTTTCACTTGACCTTATCTGAGAAGCACTTTATCTGCCCTTCCATTCTAAATGAAAGCTTTGCTGGATAGAGCAATCTTGGATGTAGGTCCTTGCCTTTCATGACTTGGAATACTTCTTTCCAGCCCCTTCTTGCCTGTAAGGTCTCTTCTGAGAAATCAGCTGACAGTCTGGTGGGAACTCCTTTGTAGGTGACTGTCCCCTTATCTCTTGCTGCTTCTAGAATTCTCTCCTTCATTTTAATCT